TTGTGCTAGTTTTCAAACAATTTTCAGAAGACACACGTCTGGCGCAGCTTCCAATTGGCTGCAGGACGCTCCTGCAGCCAATCAGAAGCCACGCCTTGGAAGTTGACAGTTTTGGAAGTTGAATGGACTTCCGGAACAGATTCCTTCAACCTCCAAGGTATGTCTGTACTTTAATTATTTTAGGAGTAGGGAAGGAAGCATCCGGCCTTAAGGCTCAAAACAAACCCTGTTTTGTTGTTGCATCTGAGGAAGGCCTGAATCTCCTCTGACCGTTGAGAAAATCTAAAATAAAGTTATCTATTGTGAAAAATGAAACACCGAATTCAGTAGCACAGGAAGTAAATAAGGAACTACTGAAGCAGGGATTAAAGCACTTCTTTTCAATATAACTTGAAAGCTTATTGTCAGGTCTCACAAAATTTTATGAATGGGGTGTGTGTGTGTGTGTGTGTAGTATAGCACATGTGCAATACCAGTGCTCCAACATGACTGTTTTTATTGGGTATACTGCTCAGATGTTACAAAAAAGAAGCAGCAGTATTGGCACAAAGTCTTGAAAGCGTTCTAATTTTTAGAATTGCAACAAAGGCTTGAAGGATGTCAGAAAACTGAATTCTTTAATCCTGTGCCATGAGATCAAGAATGGACCTTGGGTAAACATGTTTTCTCATATGTCCTTCTGAATATTGAAACCACTAGAGAAAAGTGATTTGATATCCTGGGTTACTTTCAAAAACTCTGGGAAACACTTCTGCATGTTATGAAGGGAACACGAATGAGGAGAGAATGCATTGAACCAACATCAATTCCTGATCTTGGGCAGAGGAGGGAGGAACTTTTGTGTTTAATATCCACCCCCCACCCCCCGGTTTGAATACCATCCACTCACATTGCAACAACGTGTTGGTAATTAACATCAAACTGATAGCATAGTCCGTGGAATTACTTGTGGACCTGACACCTTGTATATTTTAAATATAAAGCCTGTATTCCTTTTATTAGCAGAATGTCTAACTTACATTCTTCCTCCAATATGGAGGTCCAAGGCAGCATTTTTTTTAAAGCATATTGTAATGGTTCTAAGGGGTTGCTTGTGCGTAAGCAGGTGCCTATCTCCCTGGCTGGGTGCAAACACCTGGCTGGGCAGCCAAAGTGAACCTCTTCTGTCCGGACAGCCACTCACCTGTGGCTGACTCAATCGCTGGCAGAATCCGTGAGTGGGCGTTTCTTAAACTTCTTCCAGCAAAGAAGTTCTTTGACGCCTAGTCTCCGCCTACCATCTCTGCGCGAAAGCCTTCTGCGCAGGGAGGGCGTGGGCAACGGAGGACCCCTACTCTCCCTGCTGGTCCCAGGCAAGGAGTCATGGGACCGCCTTGCCGCTTCCCCCACCTGCCCCCCTTCTCCACTGGCGCTACGCTGATTCTCTTCCCCAGAAAATGGGCTGCTCCTCCCAATCCCTGGACGCTCTCTGGAATCCTTCTGGCTTTTGCGCTCCCCCTCCAGTACTGATGACAGTTCCCTGACACATATATTCAGGGCAGACTTCCGGTCGGTGCCAGCGCTTAATGGCGGTCCTCCCTCCGAGCTCCGGAGAAGGACTGCTCCGCAAGTTCGGGTCTTACCCGCTACAGCGAGCGGGGGACCCTTAAAATCTCAGGCGCTGAAGCCTGAGAGCAAGGAGACTCGGTGGGCACCTTTGCGCCCCCCGGTACTGTGAAAGAGCCTTTTTAAAGGCTCCGGAGCGGCATCGGGAGTGAGCGCGGTGCTGAGAGTCGCTACCCAGCCTGCGGAGTGAAGCCGCGTCGCCATAAGCGGAGAGCGCCGATTTCTTCCTGAAAAGAAAATCTGGACTGAATTCCCGTGAGTAAGAGCAGAAAAAGAATCGGGACCCTTTAAAATTTGAAAATCTGGCTGAAAACGGGAGGGAATAAAATAAGGAAGTCTGCCCCCCCGGACTGCAGAAATTTAAAGCAACGAAAGACCCCGCTGCAGTTGCAAGAAACTTAGTTGCGATCTGTCAACCCTGAGCTGTCAAAAGTATCTCTTCCCCCTGATCGGAGGAGAAGGGGGGAAAGAAAGACAGTCTTGTGAAGATACTTTTAATTCAAGTGAAACAAAGTTTTCCACTGCCCTGATCCCCTGGGGACGATCTGCCAGGAGTTAGCACCGGGAAAATTGTTCTTTAAAATAGGTATGAAGTGGATATAGACCATACCTTAAATGGTGAATGAGTTTTAAGACTTGAGCGGGACTTTGTTACAGATATTGGATTAGCTAAATCTACCTGGAGAAAAAGTTTTAAATAACTTTAATGGCGGACTTTTGACTTCTTACATCCGGCTTTCTGTTTCTTTGTTCCCTCTAACTTGGACACTATTAATTGCTCCCTCTGGAGGACTAAGAGGGAAAAAACTGTAAAGTAACTGGCTGACAGTGGGATTTTCCATCGTAAGTTTTCCTGTGAGAACGGCCTTGGGATATGAGTGGCTCGGCAGAGGAGATAAGAACCAGATCCAAAGCTAAAGTGACACAAAAGAAAAGAGGCTCAATCTCTGGCAATACAGTGCCTGCACCGGAAAGTGTGACAGCAGCATCAATGGAATCTATGACAACAGGCACTGCTTAAAATAAATCAATCTCTAGAGGCCTTAACAAAGCAATCCACAGAAAATACAAAGAAAACTGACAGAACTCACAGCAAGATTGGACTTGAACACTACGTCAGTGGCGACTAATACAGAATCTATAAATAGACTGATTCAGGAATCTACAGAAACTAGGAAAATTGCAGAGAGTGCAAGATCTATTGCTGGGGAGACACAGGAAAAACTTGCACCGATAGAGAAAAAGGTGAATGAGCATGAAGCGGCCCTCTCCTTACTGGAGCTACAACGGAAAGAACGGAATCTGAAATTAAGACAGGTTCCAGAGAATGAAAAGGACAACCTGACGGAATTTCTCACAGAGGCAATTTTGGAAAATTGGCAAGGAGATCTGGAGGAGGATGAAGTAGAGATAACAACTGCTTTCAGACTTGGTAGAAAGCAAAGTGAGAAGCCAAGGGATTGTCCTGATTACCTTCAGAACCAAAGAGGAAAGAGACAAGATACTGAACCTTCATTATCAAAAAGCTTTGGTAATTGGAAACATTCAAGTCCAAATCTTTAAGGACATCCCTAAATACATCTTGGAAGTGAGGGCCTTCTATATGGAGGCAAAAGAGGTGAAAAAATTGAATATGGGTTCTAATTGGCCTAAATATTTTGAAATGATAGAACAAGATGGTGAAAAAGTAAAATTGCAGAGTTTCGAGAAACTGAAGTTTAAGGTGAGAGATTGGCTACATTATCGACAGTTAAATGAAGTATTCAAACAGGACAGAAAGAAAGGCTTCCAAGTGGAGAAGTCCAAACTAGAAACAGAACTGTTAGAACCCAATACTAAAATCTTGTCAAGAATGTACAACTTGCTGTTGAAATGGAATACTCAAGATGAAATGGTGAAATCTAGTATGATTAAATGGGCACAGGATATAGGGCATGACATTGAGCTTGCTGACTGGGAGCAGTTATGGACCACTGGTTTAAATTACGGCATGTAATGCCTTAAGAGAAAACATTATGAAAATGATCTACAGGTGGTACATGACTCCGGCTAAGTTAGCAAAGATTTATCATTTGCCCAATAACAAGTGTTGGAAGTGTAATGAAACGGAGGGAACCTTCTATCACCTTTGGTGGACCTGCCCGAGATCAAGGCCTTCTGGGAAATGATCTATAATGAAAATTAAAAAGTTCTGAAGAGAACATTTAATAAAAAGCCAGAAGCCTTTCTCTTGGGTATGGTGGGCCAAATGGTGCCAAAGAAGGATAGGACATTTTTTATGTATGCTACAACAGCAGCAAGAATCCTTCTAGCAAAGTATGGAAGACACAAGATCTACCCCGTTGGAAGAATGGCAAGACGAAGGTGATTGATTATAGGGACTGGCGAGATGACTGGCAGAATCCGAGACCGGGGGAAAGAGGCGGTGGATGAAGACTGGAACAAATTTAAAGTTTATCTTAAAAACTGTTGTAATTTGGAAAATTAGAGGATCAGGGTAATAAGAGATAAAGAACTACAGTTGTTTTATTATCTTATGGAATTAAATTTATGAAATAGAAATAAGTTTAATACGAAAGGGTTGCTGAAAAATCTTGAAACAAGAATGCAGAAAAGGGGTGGTACGGGGAAGTCGGTTTTGTGTTTATCTATGTTTTTGTTTTGTTTTCTTTTTTACTTATGGAAAATCAATAAAAATTTATTTAAAAAAAAAACAGAAAGGGTTACTTCCGGGTTTCGCCGTTTGCGCATGCGCAGAAGTGCAAAATGACGCCAAACGCATGCGCAGAAGTGGCGAATCGCAATCCGCGCGTGCACAGACGCACCGCTGCGGGTTGTGCTCTTTTCATGTTGCGAACGGGCCTCCAGAACGGATCCCGTTCGCAACCAGAGGTACCACTGTATTCCTTTCAGGTGAATGAGAGCGCAAAGTTCCACCCATGTTAAACCCTGGCGAAGGTTTGCAACCCATTTTAGTTCATGCATTGTAGTTTGGGGGCTGCCATTTTGTCTATTCGAGAGAACATGCGAAAAGAAAACACGTTCCATCTACGTTTCAAATTCTTTTGAGGCATTCCGTTCACCTACATAATATGCATGCTGCCACTCCCTGGCTTATGGCTCTAACTTCAGGATTCAGATGTGGATCTAACCCCAACAGTAGCCAATTGCTGTATGCACAGGTTGTTCCTGTGTGTACCTCCCCACCAATTCACCCAGCCAACGGTTAAGATACGCACAAGCGATGCAGCATAAAGGAGCAGGGCAGAATCTTGGGGAAAGGACCAAGAATGCGAGTTCTTTTATATCTGTGCACATCACATCTAGTATGCAAAAGCAGCTCATACAAGAGTGGGTCATTATATGTAGATACAAATCCCTCGTGCTGTACTTACATTGCTTTCCTGGTTCTTGTTGTTCTTAAGCAGTGTAATTACACAATTATGAATAAAGAAGGCCAGAGTCAGCACCCCTGTAAGCTGAGGAAACAGAGTCCTGAACTCTGGAGAAACAAAAATAAATTATAATTAACAAAATGGCTGCCAACACCACTATAATAGGTACCACTGCTCTCCCACTTTACTGATACCTGGGCCTGGTTCTCTGGCCAATTTTAAGGCTCCAGCTGCACCATATAGGAGAAACGTCAATAATTTCTTGAAGGGGGAAGCATGGTAAAAGGAAGAGGAACGGTAGTAGCCAAACACATATCAAACAAGCAGCTTTACCAATTGCTTTGTTAACAAATTTGAGCAAACCACCCATTTGCTGAGTGCTGATGCAGCTCATTGGCAGAAATGAATAGTGTAAACTTAGAAGCCAGACGCCTGTACATCTTGAACGTTTTGGCTCCTGAACGATAGAAAACCGGAAGTGATTGTGCTAGTTTTCAAACAATTTTCAGAAGACACACGTCTGGCGCAGCTTCCAATTGGCTGCAGGACGCTCCTGCAGCCAATCAGAAGCCACGCCTTGGAAGTTGACAGTTTTGGAAGTTGAATGGACTTCCGGAACAGATTCCTTCAACCTCCAAGGTATGTCTGTACTTTAATTATTTTAGGAGTAGGGAAGGAAGCATCCGGCCTTAAGGCTCAAAACAAACCCTGTTTTGTTGTTGCATCTGAGGAAGGCCTGAATCTCCTCTGACCGTTGAGAAAATCTAAAATAAAGTTATCTATTGTGAAAAATGAAACACCGAATTCAGTAGCACAGGAAGTAAATAAGGAACTACTGAAGCAGGGATTAAAGCACTTCTTTTCAATATAACTTGAAAGCTTATTGTCAGGTCTCACAAAATTTTATGAATGGTGTGTGTGTGTGTGTGTGTGTGTGTGTGTGTGTGTAGTATAGCACATGTGCAATACCAGTGCTCCAACATGACTGTTTTTATTGGGTATACTGCTCAGATGTTACAAAAAAGAAGCAGCAGTATTGGCACAAAGTCTTGAAAGCGTTCTAATTTTTAGAATTGCAACAAAGGCTTGAAGGATGTCAGAAAACTGAATTCTTTAATCCTGTGCCATGAGATCAAGAATGGACCTTGGGTAAACATGTTTTCTCATATGTCCTTCTGAATATTGAAACCACTAGAGAAAAGTGATTTGATATCCTGGGTTACTTTCAAAAACTCTGGGAAACACTTCTGCATGTTATGAAGGGAACACGAATGAGGAGAGAATGCATTGAACCAACATCAATTCCTGATCTTGGGCAGAGGAGGGAGGAACTTTTGTGTTTAATATCCACCCCCCACCCCCCGGTTTGAATACCATCCACTCACATTGCAACAACGTGTTGGTAATTAACATCAAACTGATAGCATAGTCCGTGGAATTACTTGTGGACCTGACACCTTGTATATTTTAAATATAAAGCCTGTATTCCTTTTATTAGCAGAATGTCTAACTTACATTCTTCCTCCAATATGGAGGTCCAAGGCAGCATTTTTTTTAAAGCATATTGTAATGGTTCTAAGGGGTTGCTCGTGCGTAAGCAGGTGCCTATCTCCCTGGCTGGGTGCAAACACCTGGCTGGGCAGCCAAAGTGAACCTCTTCTGTCCGGACAGCCACTCACCTGTGGCTGACTCAATCGCTGGCAGAATCCGTGAGTGGGCGTTTCTTAAACTTCTTCCAGCAAAGAAGTTCTTTGACGCCTAGTCTCCGCCTACCATCTCTGCGCGAAAGCCTTCTGCGCAGGGAGGGCGTGGGCAACGGAGGACCCCTACTCTCCCTGCTGGTCCCAGGCAAGGAGTCATGGGACCGCCTTGCCGCTTCCCCCACCTGCCCCCCTTCTCCACTGGCGCTACGCTGATTCTCTTCCCCAGAAAATGGGCTGCTCCTCCCAATCCCTGGACGCTCTCTGGAATCCTTCTGGCTTTTGCGCTCCCCCTCCAGTACTGATGGCAGTTCCCTGACACATATATTCAGTATAACTCCCTTTAACTGTCTCTGTTCTATTTACCACTCTGAACACACCGTTCAATCTACATGATGGAACAAATGGGTTCAGGGTGGGATATAATCAGTTTTGGCAAATGGGAGAGGAGCCAGAGAAATGCCTTCCAATAAGCATTTGTGCTCTATATTGGATTAGCTTGCTGCTTTTGATGTCAGCTGCAGAAGGTCATTTGTTTCAGAGTTCCTGCTGTTTCTCTGCCCTTGCTCAAATGCGATAAAGCTCTGTCCTGGCACTTATTACTGCAAAGAGATGGCTCCTCTTAAGACAATACAATGCACATCTGTCTCCAGGATACTGTATTCCTAACTGCCCTTGGAAGTTTTCCCTTCTTCTTGATTACCAACAAACACATGCATGGGGAAAATACGTTTCGTTTCGCCTACTTTAAATTCAACTTTTCTGTCCTAAAAGTAAGAATCATCCAAATGGATTCGTAACCGCTCATTACGGTCTGCGTCATATTATTCTGCCCCATTCCACCGCCTGCAAAATGACACTAATTCAGGCATGGGAATTTTGAAGTTCAGAAATTGGTAGGCAACAGCAAAACACTAACCCTGAGTGTAAGGGTCTCTATGGAGGATGGGTGGAACAAAATTATTATGTAGTTGCTGCACAATTCTTTTTTTTTTTAAACAAAGCACTTCTAACACAAGGAAATAGCTTTCCCCCAGGAAAACCCAGTTTGCATGTTGGGAAAATATGATTCCATCCCCGCAAGAGTGTTCTGCTATGGTTATGGTTGTTATTTGAAATTTGACTGCCTTAGTGTCAGGCATAGTGGTTAGTGACAGCCAATGCAAGCTTTGAGAGGGGGATGCTGATCAATGGAGAAAAGATGTCAACAGGTTCACTAAACTTTTAAGCCATGCGTAGGCAAACTAAGGCCCAGGGGCCTGATCCAGCCCAATCACCTTCTAAATCCGGTCTGCGGACATTCCTGGAATCAGCGTGTTTTTACATGAGTAGAATGTGTCCTTTTATTTAAAATGCATCTCTGGGTTATTTGTGGGGCATAGGAATTTGTTCATTCCCCCCCCCAAATATAGTCCAGCACTCCACAAGGTCTGAGGGACAGTGGAACAGTTTGCTGACCCCTGCTTTAAACACTTGAACAGCCACAAATTTATCAACCTTTTTTTAAAAAAAAAACAACACAAAAAACCCCAACATGTATTTTTAAACAAGGATTTTTAACGTCCAGAAGTTCTGTTTCATGTTTTAACCATCAATAATCTTAATCCCCCTGTTTTTTGTGCTTCTTGGTGAGTGCCACCTTTCCATTTCTCATTTAACAGCCAAAAACACCAACTAGTTTCTTCTTCTCACCACCCAATTCATATTACGTACCTTTTAAAAATTATGTTTTTTACTGCTGTGTAACAGAAATGTAATTTTGCGGCTAAACGTTTCCTTGCTGTACCAGTTGGGTGTTGGAGTGCTCATCTAGCTCCTTCAACAAATGCCACAACCATTTTGCAGGCTTGCTTTGGGGGGGGGGAGTGTTATTACATCTGGCAAACCATTTTGCCAGAAATACTAACTAAACAAGCCGAGCTTTGAGAATAGCTCAGTATGAGGACAAGGAGCTCAATGGTATACTTTTATTCAATGGACAAGGTGGTTGTGGGATTCCACCATCCACCCATAGGACTCTGTGGACTGATCCTGCTGGGATAATTAAGAGGCATTGTTTTTCTACTCATGAAATGAACCAAGATTGCTCTCCCCCTACATTTGTATTGTGAAAATGATGTACCATGGGTTACAGGGTTATTTAAATAAATAAATGGTTTAATACTTTTTTTTTATTAACCCCCCCCCCAGAAAAACGATTTTTAAAAGACTGTCTGACAAAATGCCTGTATTTTGGAAAACAACAACAACAACCTAGGAAATTTATGCAGAATAATGCACCAATCTGCCACCAAGACTACTATTCTAAACACCACCACCCTTTTCTTTTTACTGTTGCCCTAGCCTAGTGGCTGTGCAGATTGTGTCCAGTGTGCTCTTTCCGTTTCATAAAAATGGGTAGAAACATGGGGTGACTGCCCTGCCTGCTTCAGATTCAGGGATGGCTGTTGAAAGATGAGCCACCTTGCCCACCCACGATCTAACAGAATGCCAGGGGTGAACTTGCAAAGCTTGTAGGACTGGTCTGATTAAAGTTTAAAAAATCTGGATTCACCAAAATGCAGTTTGCTTGGCTTGACATCTGTTCCAATTCACAAACAATTCATCAAAGCTGCATCATTCTCCAGCCCTCTTCCCTCCACCCGCTACCCTGCTCTGTTTGGATAACCATGCAGGCTATAAACATTCACAGATTAAGTGTGCCAGTAAACAGCAAAATCTGAGCAGTGTTTTCTGACGAAGGACATCTGGAGGGCTGTCAGGGAACAGCTCTGTGCTGCATGCTAAATCAAGCTAAGCTGAAATCGATGCAACTGCAGTCGCAGGTAAAATGAACTCTCTCAGGTATGAATATGCATATGGCACAAACTGGACCATCTCCATGGAGTTTGCATGCCACTGTGGCCCACACAAGCTATTTGTCTGCAACTGTTCTTGTTTTGTCCCTGAGGCATCTTTTCTATTTGGATCTTTACCAAGGAGGACTAAGAGAAGTGCGCATCTCTCTAGCAGCGCAAATGGTTTTTCCTATCCCTGCTGTCAAACTAAAGCTCAATCACTCCATATTTCATTGTTTGGATGGGAAATGATGTTTACCGCAAAGGTCAGCCATTGACTAGGAAACCTTTTTAGCGCCATTATTTACACTATTGTAGGGGATGGGAGAAGAGGGGAGAAACATTTTCCAAACCGCAAATCCGGAATCTCGGCATGGACTCCTTACAAATTCGTCAAAATTACATATGTTTTGCATTATAGCAAGCAGCAACTCTTTTTGCTTTTAATGAGAAATGACCTTAGTTTTATGAATTTTGTCCATCGCCTATAAAAAATATACAAAAAAAGGAACACAGAACCATATTAGGTTCTGCCATCTGTATTGAAGCACTTAAAGCTGCGGCACTTACCGTTACATGGGGCAGTAATAAATCTGGCCCAGTTTTGTAATACTCTTTCTCTAAATGGTGGTATGTTACAAAATTGTACAACTTAAATTATAAAACAGGACATGACTGACAAAAAAAATGGGTCACTGTAACTCCTTTTTTCTACATGGTAAGCTCAACAAATCAGTATTTCAAGTTTCTCCTAAAAAGGAGAAAGTGTTTTTGACAGGTTTTTGACAGCTGCACCCTGAGCTTCGCAAAGGGGGGGGAAGCAGTTTATCATAAACTGGAAGTTTAACTTTCCGTTTCAATGGGAGGGGCTGAAAGAGAACAAGTTGCTTAGCGAGTTCATAGCATTTGAGCTGGGAGCTCACATTATGTGGTCACTACATTACATCAGCTCTTGCAAGTGCACAGCCTAACAGACAACGATTGTGACAGACAACGGCACAAGCCAGCTTTCTTGCATTTCAACGCTGCCTCCCTATCAACTGAAACCACAAAAAGGAGGCGGTTGTATTGGTGAGATAATATAAATGTCACATATTTAACGTTTCTATGTGCACACGGTTGCCTCTGAATTGGCCACCATGGGGCAACTGCCTGCATGAAGACAGCCCCTTAGCATTCCTTCCTATATTGAGAGAGACACACAAGAGAGAAAGGCGGGAAACAAGAATACTGAAAGTAGATTAGAGAAAGCATTTGTTAAATAGTATTTTAACTGCGCTAAAGTTTATACATAATAGAACAAAGGCATGCAGTGCTTCCTCTCTCTCCTCAACAGCTGCAGCCCCGTGGCCTTCAGGGAGTTGGGCTAGTCTGCTTCTGTCCTGGCTCGCTGTCCAAGTAAACTGAGTGGGAGGACTCCAGAAAAATAACTTGTGGAACATGTTCATATACTAATTTCTACCCTCTTTAGAACACTGAAATAAATATAATAATAATAATAATAATAATAATAATAATAATAATAATGTATATGTGTGAGAGAGGTAAGAGAAATCAACCTGGGAACATAAGAGAATTATTTCCCTCACATATTCCATCCCATCACAGAGTGGGTTGAGGGGGAAAAGGGCTTTTCTCCTATCCACTTCCTGCCAGTGTTATTATGGGGCAAGCCAGCTGAGAGACCCAGCATAGTATACTGGCTAGATTGGGCAGAGTAATGGATTATAGGACCAGAGGAAACAACTTGAAATTCTCACTCAGCCATGAAACCTACCAAGTGAGCATGGGCCAGTCATCATCTCTCAGACTAACCTACCTTGCAGGTTTGTTTTGAGGATAAAAAGGTAGTAGTGAAAAGACAACCTATGTGATGCTTTATTATTATTGTGCTTTATGTATGTATTTGCAGCAGGTGTTCTGGGGTTTTCTGACAGAAGTACAGGATGCAAGTTTTACAGATAAACAAACTTATGACAATGGCATTTGCGGGAAGACGATTGTTGGAATAGAATTAGTTCCATTCACTAGAACATGGAGAGGGACTTCTTATACAGTAGTACCTCGGGTTACATATGCTTCAGGTTACAGACGCTTCAGGTTACAGACTCCACTAACCCAGAAATAGTACCTTGCGTTAAGAACTTTGCTTCAGGATGAGAACAGAAATCGTGCTCCAGCGGTGCAGCGGCAGCACGAGGCCCCATTAGCTAAAGTGGTGTCTCAGGTTAAGAACAGTTTCAGGTTAAGAACAGACCTCCGGAACCAATTAAGTATGTAACCAGAGGTACCACTGTACAATATTTTCCACATGTGTTCTTCTGTGGAGGAAAGCTGTGTTGGGAATAGTCGCCAGAAGTTCTCTTTGGGTTTATGACGACTGATCTATTGTGACTTGGAGAACAGCTGAACTGTTCTCTAAAGCAAATGCATTACCAGGGTAGGGTGGTGCTGAACCCCTCTGAAATTCACTGGGGAGTGGGCAGAAAGGGTGTTTCTACTTCCCCCAGCAAGAATTCATTAAATGTTAGCAACTGACATAACGATTCCCCAGGCGAAAAGAGTACCTAATTCTAATCAGACACCACATGAAGAAAGCAAGTTCTTCAGAGCTCTTTTTTTTTTTTTTTGGCAGCAGAATGAGACTCCTAGTGAAGGTCCCTGATGCCTCATTACAAGCCTTTTGGAGGAAGAAAAAGAGGCTAATGGCCTCAAGAGCATTTTGACTAGTGCCAATACAAGCTCCAGGAGCTAGCAAGCTGGAAAAGTCAACCTACCCACAGCCTCTGGCCAGAAAACCCAACCTTCATGCAGTGCTGAAATCACTCTGGAATTGTCAGACCTGGGGGTGCTTCTTATGCAACCATTTCCCCACATCTGAGTAGATTCAGCTGCATGGGGGAGACCCTGAACTGTTACCAAGTCTTGGATGGAGCTCTTCTCCTTCCTCCCCACACTGATCATCCTAGGCATCACTATGGGCAATAATAGGGCTAGTTGGTCCCACATAGCTAGAGGCCTGGATCACAGAAAAGGGGGGAAGAGGACAGCCGCCTTTGTTCCACCTGATGCCCTTCCTGAATTGAGACTCTGTCAAATGAGGAAAGGAATTCTCTACCCATTCAAATACCGTAGTCAATCCCTCTCCCCTCCATCTCCTTTGGCAGAACTGAGAAGCTGAAGGAGAGGAAAAGCCATATACGGATGCAGGTGTGAGAGCAATTCAGATGGGGCCCTGGTGTGTGTGGGAGTTCTGGTGGCCTGATGTTTGCAGGGCTGGTGCAAGCAAAGTGCTTAAGAGCATAAATGAAAGAGCAACTTGATGGCGGAAGGGGAAATCAGTTCAGTCATGAAACTTGCTTGGTGGCCTTAGTCAAACCTCAATTGCTTACACTAAAATTATTGCACCTGTAATAGAGGGTGATCATACCAGCCCTCCTGACAGGCTTGTTGTAAGGATTATGCAACAAGGATTGCACTAAGTACTGATGCACCATATTTTTCACTCCGTAAGACACACCTGACCATAAGATACACCTAGTTTTTAGAGGGGGAAAGCAAGAAAAAAAATATTCTGCCCAGAGCATGTAAGCGGCTCTCGCTTTTCTTGCTTTAAACCCTTCCGTCGCCCCTCCTGCTTCACTGAGAAGCCAGCAGAGCAAACTGCACAGCTCTCACTGAAGCCAGCAGAGCAAGAGCGATAGCTGCACAGCACCTCTTGTTCTGCTGGCTTCCCAGCAAAGCGGGAGGAGCGACGAAAGGGAGCCCTTACAAGGGAGCGCTGAGCAGAGCCCGGCAGCGGCTCTTGCTGGCTTTTCTGGGAGCTGTGGGAAGGGACAGAGGGCAGCCTATCAGTCCCTTCTCCCACCTTGCGGAAAAGCCCCCAAGAGCCGCACACACACTAGGCACAGCTCTTTAAAGGGAGTGCTGAGCAGAGCCTCCCACCTGCTTTCGCTCCATGAGACACACACACATTTCCCCTTACTTTTTAGGAGGGAAAAAGTGTGTCTTATGGAGCGAAAAATACGGTAATTTCTTTTTCTTAAGTACTACTGTTATTATTGAGATCAGCCACCACAGAATGATATTGGGTCCAATAAATTATAATCAGGGATGGGAAAGCTGTGGTCCCCTAGCTACTGCTGCACTCCAGTTCCCATCTGCTCCAGCCACTATGGCCAAGGGCCTGAATGTTGTGAGTTGGAGTCCGACAACACCTGGAAAATCCCCATTTTCTTTAAAGGCCTCATTTAAATATTTAAACTGCATGGCATGCTTGAGCATTTTGCTCCTTGGTTAATGGCTCTTATAAATTGCAAATGACCAGTGTATAAATGGTCACCTACACCCTACTGTTCCAACTCAATCTACGTTTCTTGCAATTAATTCCAATAGTGATATAGTAGCCTGAACTGTACTGGTAACCAATTCAAAAGGAATTATATACAGGGGCTGAAGAATACTTTCGAAACCACTTTTATCTTATCAGATGATTAAAATGGAGTGTTTTAAAGTCAATACTGATGGCTGTTTTATATATATATAAAGTTTACCTGGTACAAAATATGTGGTTGATTTAAACCAGTCAAATTCTAAATGGAATCCCAAGAGAGCAGCTTTCACAGTAACGAGGATAACTAGGTAGATGACTGAAACGGTACCTGCAATAAGGGAAGAGGGAAAACCACAAGTCACTCAGATACATTTAAATTAAGTAGGAGCAGAAGTGTTGCTTTTCAATCTCTAGCTTGGATCAACCCAAAACAGCTCCCCTGCCTCCGATCCTTCCCTCTTCACTTGCCCTTTTCTGTGTTTTGTTTTTCATTTGCAAATCAGCTTTGAGATTAATGCAACCGAGATAAAATTATTTTGCATCTTATTCAGCCAGGTTCGAACAAGAGAACACATGGAGAGGGGTCAGAAAATCATGTTAATGCAAGTTTACTTGATGTCAAAGAGAACAACAGCTACCAGACTTTTAGAAGACATCTGAAGGCAGCCCTGTTTAGGGAAGCTTTTAATGTTTGATGCATTACTGTATTTTAATATTTTGTTGGAGGCCGCCCAAAGTGGCTGGGGAACCCCAGCCAGATGGGCGGGGTATAAATAATTTTATTATTATTATTATTATTATTATTATTATTATTATTATTGGCTGCTCTAAATCCAAGAAATTTGTAAAAGGGTGGGGAAAAGAGGGAGAGAAAATAACAAAATTCCTGAATGAAATAAGTTCTGGGAAATGAATTTCCTGAAGAGCAAAGGATAAATAAAAAGAACTGGTTGCCTTTTAACACAAGCTTCTTGTATTAAAAAGGTACTGGAAGAGCGATGTGCCCCTCTTCCAACAGCCTATTTAGCATGGCAGGTCGAAGAGAAAGAGTGACCCCGCCTACTTTTGGCACTGGCTCCGCCCACTGCTGGCTTCAGTCTTGCCCACCATGAGTATGCAATCCCTGACAGAAAGCAGCCCTCAACAGAAAAAAGATTGCCCACCCATGTTTTAAGCTTTACAAAAGACATTGGGAGAGATCTGATCACAGATCTGTTGTGTAAAGTGTAGCCTGGCCCTCAGTTCAGGGAAAATGATGCAATATTGACTAACCGATTAAGTGACAACAGTGGATATCCAATGGGGAAACATTTCAGGTCTTGTGGTAACTGTGGGGCATTCTGCCCCAACACAGACTGTACATTCTCCAGTCAAATCATTGCCTACCTAAAACGTTGAATTTGGCAAAGAAAGAGGGAGACTTGAAATTCAATAGCAGAACAAGGATGCTCAAGTAAAGAGGGACAGTTTTCGATTTGCTCCATAGCCGTTCAAATTCCTCAAATCCTGAATCACCGGTAGAAGAAAGTGTCCAGGTTCTGTTTCCTGGTACTTCCTTGCCTGCATCACCTGGGCAGATTACTGTAGAACCAAAAGGGAAACAAGCAGTGGTTTACTTCAAGGAAAGCATAACAAGGAGGGGAAACCAGAGCCTAAACATCAAAATGAACAAGTTGCCTACTGTGGTGTGAACTTAGGAATAAACAGAGTGACCAACTTGGGTTCTCCAATTAAGGCAGCCAGTGGCTCTCCAGATCTTGGGACTGCAGTTCCTATGATCCCAGACCACTGGTTATTCTACCTGGGGCTGATGGGAACTTGAGTCCAACAGGATTTAGAGAGTCAGATTCCACATCCGTAACTTAGGGAAACAGCTGACCGTTTTGGCTGCTGAATACCTGTATGTTGTCTCTTCACACTCACCCACAACCCTCACCCACTTTGGAGAAAACAATATAAGGAATATCTATGGAATTTGCTTCTCTTAAGAAGACAGATAAAGTCTGCTCTTCTGCAGGGGGCAGCCATTTTGCATTAAACCAGTGGCATGTAGTGAATTTTTTCACAAGGGAACAGGTAGGGCCAGAGGTGCCAACTTGAGATGGCAATTGGAGGGGGAGCGACGTCACACGTGTGACACTGCGACATTCCAAAGCTGCACACGTGAGCATCGCATCTGCCTCCCTAAGCCAGCCAGACGCCACCTGGGCTTTGAGAATGAGGCTTTAATACTCTGATTCATGGGTAGGCAAACTAAGGCCCGGGGGCCGGATCCGGCCCAACGCCTTCTAAATCCAGCCCGCAGACGGTCCGGGAAGCAGCGGGTTTTTACATGAGTAGAAAGTGCCCTTTTCTTTAAAATGCATCTCTGGGTTATTTGTGGGGCCTGCCTGGTGTTTTTACATGAGTAGAATGTGTCCTTTTATTTAAAATGCATCTCTGGGTTATTTGTGGGGCATAGGAATTCGTTCATTTTTATTTTTATTTCAAAATATAGTCCAGCCCCCACAAGGTCTGAGGGACAGTGGACCAGCCCCCTGCTGAAAAAGCTTGCTGACCCCTGCTTTAATTTACCAGGAACATTTAGGGAAATAGCCTGGTCCCCCTAGCCCACTGACCGCATGCCACTGCATTAAGCTACACCCCTGACATCAGCCATTCTCAAAATTCCACATGTGCCCCTGGACCCCCAAAAAGTTGACAACTATTGGTATACAGCGTTCACATGTCAGTGTAATCTCTTCCTAGACTATGGATTGCTGACATGTGAACATGCTAAACAAATGAGCCAACACACAGTTTAAGGGCCTTTTTTTAAATTAAGATGCTGGCCCAACAGATACCCTGAACAGGTTGTGCTTTATGTGAGGCTATGCCCAGGGAGGTCACATCAGTGCTGCTAATGCAGCGGTTTTACTTCTCCCCCAGAGGCACACCCCTCTCTTTAAACAGAAGGATGCCAACAATAGAGAGGTAAACAGCAAGGAGGGATTTCAGTACGGCTCACCTGCACATTCCTTTTACTCATTCAATCTATCCCCACCCACTTTAGATGTGATTGATTCAGATTCAGGTTAAAGCACTCTAACCTGCTATTGTCATGTGACCTTCGTCAGTGACCTGTGAAGTACAAGATTACCATTTCTGGGGTCTGATGCAAGCAGCTGTCATTAGTAAACAGCTGTGATTTATGTGCAGAGTGTGGTCTAACTAAGTATTCTGTGGAATTTTCCTAGAGCAAATCTTTTCATCCCACACTGGCTGCATGCCAAGCCGGTTACAATGCCCTTAAGCACAAAGCAGTTGGTCATGTTTCAGAAAAGCCAATGGACACGACCGAGTCATCAGCGTTATTTTTGCAAGTCTGTTTACTCTCCATTGTCTGCATAATAGTTACTGTTTTGAGAGAAAGTTGACAGTACTGCAGTAATTCACATGAAACTCTTTTCTGGATTGAGGGGGAAGGGAGTGACAAACTGATTATTATTTTTCACACAGCTTTTGACGCAAACACAGAACCCTATAAATTATGTTTTGGGAAGTTACTATTTGCAATCAGGATTGTTATTAATGTGGTTTTTAAATAAACCTGGGAAAGAAACTTCTGCAATATTTTACTATTTTCAGCCAATTTTATTTTTGGTTAATGTTAGTCATTCAGGATAGACCTAACTACTGCATAAAATCTCTTGGAGATGCATCCCTCTGATTCTAAAAGCATTTTATTGTATTTTATCACTTTTAAGCAGTTTGCTTTCATTACTTTATATTCTAAAATAATGTTTTTAAAATACTGAAAGATGTTTTGAATCTTAGTATAAATACTATTTATTGAAAGAGAGAGAGAGAGAGAATTAGGGGAGAGGGATTGGAAACTTACCTTTAGTGCTCCCATTTGTACCAGGAACAATATCCGTTACATTAATATGATGAGCATAATCTAAAGAGGGAAAGGAAGACAAACAACTTAGGAACATCTCAGCCCTGCAGCTAGTTTCTTCCGAGGTGTATTTTGGAACAAACAGGATGCATGCTGAACGCAACATGCAGAGGACTACTATTTCTGAAGCTGCAGTGTCGTTTTAGGTTTTAACAACAAAAAACAACCTTCCCACAGTTCTGTTCTACTCCTCCAGATGTTGTTAAACTCCCAACTCCCATCAAGCCCAATCAATTCAACAACATCTGGAGGGCACCGGCTTCCCCATCCCTGATCTACAGCACTGAATTTGTGCCAATGTTCACCACCACCACTGGACCTTGTTTACAATGCCCTTGGGCATATGAAGTGAGAGGTTCACATGCACAGCAACTCCCCCTTGCTTCTGTGTAAGCACAGCGAAATAATTGGGAGAGGTAGCTTCCAGGTCAGGAAAAAGGGCACCCAGGTTAGACCTGGGATTGCAAGCCAGTGGGGTGGAGTGATGAAAAGCAAACAAAACTCACTGCAGTCCACTGAAGGCAACCAACCATGCCCTGGGCCTCCACAACCTCTCTCAATGCCAATGGAAACTACCATATTTTTCGCTCTATAAGATGCACCTTTCCCCCCTCCAAAAATTAAGGGGAAATGTGTGTGCATCTTATGGAGCGAATGCAGGCTCCATGGCTTCGGCAAAAGCAACGCGAAGCCTCCGGAGCGCAGCACACCGATCCCCTTGCTCTCCTGACTTCAGGGATAGCCGCCCGAAGCCTCAGGAGAGCAAGAGGAATCGGTGCGCACCGATCCCTCTTGCTCTCCTGGCTTCGCTTTGCTGGAGAGGCGCTGCACAGCTTTCCCTCTCTGCGCAGCACCCCTTCAGCGAAGCGGGAGGAGAAATGGAAGGGGCTCCGCTGGGCAGAGGGGGAGAGAATTTTTTTTCTTGTTCTCCCCCTCTAAAACTAGGTGTGTCTTATGGTCGGGTGCATCCTATAGAGCGAAAAATACGGTTTACTACCCCTCCTTCTCTCTCCCCACCTCTTCTCTCCTAACCTTATACTGTAATACCACATTAAAGTCTCACATCAAATACAACTTTTAAATTATAAACTAGCCAAAGAATTAATGCTTACAAGCAGCACTCTGCAAAATTTCTGGATCTGGTGTTTTCAGAGTAAAATTGTGTCCAGGCAATGAGAATATGTCATTTGCATCAGTTCCATTACCCTCAATTCATCCTTCCTTGCTTGTCTCCCAAGTTTCAGGAAAGCAGTAAGGAATTTCTATCAGGTTTGCACTAGATCAGTGGGGCCTGGACAAGAGCCTGATCTTGCTGCAATGCTGGCTCTTATTATGTCTAGACCTCTGCTCACTTGCAAGCCTGTTCCAAACCCTTTTGTGTTTTTGTCATTACTTTGTCAAGAATATCTCTGCAATCATTAGGCAGCAAGAACTTTTAAAAAACAACAACAGCGTCATCTATTTAAAGATACTTACAAGAGTCCAAGGAGCATTTAAAAAAAACCAAAAACCTGTGATTCTGCAACTTAGCCTGGGCTAACTTTTCTTTCTATAGTGAACTACATTGCCATCTGCTGGATAAATAGCTTAAAACGCCTGCTGTTTCCACAATGAAGAAAGACTGTGGCCCACTTTAAAACATCAGCCAATTATGCCTACTCCGATTTACTAAAAGCCAAATTAAGACTTGCTTACATGTTTAGGATTAGTGCAAACACCAAACCCATTTAAACAGCCTTCTAAAATATACTCCTATGATGCATCTGAGATAGTATGGAAACATATTTAAGATGTATATAGAAGCATATATGTAAGATATATTTAAATTAAAATGTTAACATTGAACAGCCTCCCCAAACTGCTGCCCTTCAGATTTTTTGGACTGTAACCCAAGTCAGTCTGTAACCCAAAACATCTGGAGAGCACTAGGTGGGGGAAGCTCACCAGAGAATGATGCTCAGATCTCAAAAGATGGCCAAAAAATATAAGGACCTGCATGTTTTCATAACATTTAAATTAGTTCCATGGCACCACAATGTGCAATGTTGAAGAGATTCCTAGGAATCAGCATCCTTAATAAAGGGCACTACTATAATAATTTATTTCAAATATTGTGCATTTGTTTATACAGAGAAAAGTTTGTTTTCTCAGAGATCTTAGTACGCACACTGTAATAGTCTATTCAGTGTGATATTTGAGTTTTATAAGCAGGTTTTCTAAAGGGCAAATTTATTTAGAGTATTTTTATAGTGCCCTTTGAGTATATTCTCAGGATAATTATAAAAATGAACATGATGGTTTGGTTTGCAAGTCATTTTTAAACCACAGTTAACCTTAACTATGATTTAAGAATGCACAGCATTCTGGGGCACAGGAAAACAATCACAGCTGCTTCATTTGTCGTGATGCCATGCTACTTCAAGGTAAAGCATAGCTTGGCTTAGCGTTACATCCAAACCTGAGCTCATGGTTTGTCTCTCTTCGGACAAACCATGAGCTGCAACCAGATTATGTTCTTGGCCCACTCATGCTTTGTTTGGAGAGAGACAAACCACAAGTCTGGTTTCAGACACAACGCTAAGCCAAATCATAGCCGAGCACCTGGCAATGTGGCAGCTGTTGTTCAAAGCGATGTGGAAGCAAGGCCAGTACAAAAAATAAGAAGAAGACTCATAGTCTTCCTCCCGAGAAGACATGTGCAGGATTGCACTGCAAGTTATTTTATGTACAGTGGTACCTCGCAAGACGAATGCCTCGCAAGACGAAAGGGTTTTTTGTTTTTTGAGCTGCTTCGCAAGACGATTTTCCCTATGGGCTTGCTTCGCAAGACGGAAACGTCTTGCAAGTTTGTTTCCTTTTTCTGAACACCGTTAATACAGTTGCGACTTGACTTCGAGGAGCAACTCATAGAACGCGGTGTGGTAGCCTTTTTTTTGAGGTTTTTAAAGACTTTGGTGATTTTTGAAGCTTTTCCAAAACTTTCCCGACACCGTGCTTCGCAAGACGAAAAAAACCGCAAGACGACAAAACTCGTGGAACGAATTAATTTCGTCTTGCGAGGCACCACTGTATATGACACTTTTCTACAGCAGACGGTGTCCAAAGTGGCTTGCAATAAACACTCACATAATTACACACACTGAAACATAGACCAAAACGGCTTTTAACAGATGCAGCCATGCGTTCTGCTATGAACTATTACATATTATTTGCCAGGTAGGAAAAACCAAGGCCCAGCTGCAAGGAATTAAAAGAAAAAGTTCACACTTACTATAAATAAATATCCCCGTGTTGTAAAGGAAATTGGACATGAGGACCCAGTAAACCACCATGGCTCCAATAAGGGATACCAACGAAAACAAAAGGCTAGACCATTGACCGAATGATCCAAAGTAATACTTGCAAACATCTGGGAATTCCCAAGTTGAGGTATCTATTAAAGCTGGGGGGGAGGGGGAACGACACATCAAGCATAGAGTTAATACTAGAATTCAATAATCTAATCATTACTGCTTACACATACTTTGCATTCTGAAGATTCCTAAACATTAAGATATCACAGATTCTCAAACAATTGATGCTGAACATCCTAACAAAGTGAAATAAAAGCCTATTGCTTTTAAAGTTATTTGCAAAAATAAAGGTAGCTTACGTTTTTAAAACAGCAACAAAAATATCTAAAATGCAATTATAGCATTTAAAGCAGCCACCAAGCAGCAAACAGAAGAAGGGTTGCTGACGTATTAGAAGGCATGTTTTCACTTGCCTTCTAAAAACAAGGGAGATGAGTAATGTCTTTCTGAATACCAGCTGCAGGAAATCGCAGGTGGGCAGTGCACTGTTGTGCTCATGGTCAGTTTGCAGGCTTCCCACAAGCATCTGTTTGCCCATGGTGAGAATAGATACCGGACTAGATGTTTATTGTTCTTAATTGGCTCCTCTGGTGGGAGAATTTTGCCCAGAAAAGGCCCCAGAAAAGGCCTGAACTGAACCTTGTGTATAGATGGGCTTTATAAATTTGATTTTAAGATATTGGGTGGACTGCGCATAGGATTGCCAAGTGAAGGTTGCAGGAATGGCACAGAAAAACATGAAGTCAGATTTCTACTAAGTTAATAATTATTAAGCGCCAGAGACCTAGTAAACATTGCATTAAGTTAAAGCTTTGTATCAATAGCAAACTTGATGAGTGTATCCAACTGATGAGCAGGCATAGTACTGGAATTAATGGACCTAAGTTACTCATGGATACAACCCTAAGTCTCTGACTGGGGATCCTTTTGTAGTAAAAACGGTGCACCCACACACAAGAGGGAGGCTATATCTTTAAAAAGTAACAGTAAGGAACTAACAGTAATAAGGGGGGCAGATACAACAGTGAGATCAGTTGTGGCTTTTCCTGTCACTGCAGTATGTGACAAGAAAAGGGAAACCAAAAACCTTTGGCCAGCGTTACAGGAAATGTGACTCTGCGTAGGTCTACAAAACCACAATTGCGGAACCTGTGGGCTTCCAAACATTAATGGACTACAATTCCCATCAACCCTAGCCATTGACAATGCTGGCTGGTGTTGATGGGAATTGGAGTCCAGCAACACCTAGAGCACCAAAGGTTCCTCACTGTTGCATTAGACTCCTGCGTCCCTGCCACACAGCCTACTCACATGCAGTAGCCCTTATTCATTGCCATTTATAGCAAAAGGTTAATAGCTTGCTTTCAGAACAAAGTGGAATTGCACAGAGCAAGTGTTCCATTATCAAGCAGATTCAGCTGGAACTGCTCCTGATGAAAATGAGTTCTCAGTAATCTCTGTCTGATGGAACCCACCCTACAACAGGCAGGAATAGCTTAGGGTCACTATTTTATAAATAAATAAATACAATTTTTTAACATTTATACCCCACTCTTCCTGGTTTAAAAACCGGGCTTGGGGCAGCTAATAGCAAATATAAAACATTGATTAAAATGCAACTTAAAACAACTTAAAACAGCATAAAATACAACAAAAAATGCAGCATCAATATCAATAAAATTCAAAACTTCGGGGGGGGGGGAACCAGTCAGTAGACATCGAACGATCACCAGCGCTAACTGGCCAAGTTGGTCCTACTAGGGCCAGCAAGGAGACCAGGGAAGAATTTAAATGTGGGGTCCCAGAAAGGGTTTTTTCATAGAAGAGGAAAGGGAAAAGGGAATAGAGGATCAGGTTAATTCAAATTGAAGGCGGAATAGCTCTGCCTTACAGGCCCTGCAGGGCCCTAGTCTCTTGGGACAGAGCATTCCACCAGGTCGGGGCAGTCACTGAAAAAGCCCTGGCCCTGGTGGAGGATAGTGTAGCTTCCTTAGGGCACGGGACCTTTGAGCTATTATTATTCATGGACCTTAGGGTCCTCTGCAGGACATACCAGGAGAGGTGGTCCCATAAGTATGAGTATTGTAGAATAGAACTACAATGTCTTCAACTCCAGGGCGCAGCAATACATTAAGATGGTGGCTCCCAGAGAGGATACAAGGGCAGGTTCTAGTGCATTGATGGTGGGCCCTGCTGAGAAGCCAGCAGCTGCCCAAGAGGGTCATGTGCCGATGCCAGACCTGTTTAAGAGCTACTCCAGGATATCAGGAATGTTTTCCTTATTGAAAGAGCACTAGAAGCAGTGAGCAGTCTTCCCTGGCTGTGTACAGCCACAATGGAATTGGGTGTTTTAATGCACACTTTCAGGTATACACACCTAGGCAAAATAGCTCTAGGATCGGTGCATCATAAGAACTGAGCATGCGCTATAGAACATGTCCGACTGCCTACACTGCAAAAATCAATGTGGAAATAAGTCCCTGTAGCAGAACATCACAATCACACAGATAAATAGTACTGAAACTCATACTTACGTATCATTGTCCTCGATTTCACAACTCTGTAGCAACAGTAAAGTGTCAATACTCCCATTAACAAAATAATAACAATTCCAGAGGTAAATCCAGCCTGTTTTTTAAAATGAAAAAAAGGATTAGCATATTGTGACATTGATGCAAATTAAATTACACCCACACATTGCTGCATTAAGATTGACCTTGACACACCTGTAAGTTGCCTTACCTGTTTTATTCCCCAGGGAATACTTAATATAGATGTACCCATCATTGTATTCCAGATCATAAATCTGAGGGGAAAAACATGCACACATAAAAATATGAGAAACTAAAACTGATTGCGGAAGCTTTTTCTACGTATTATGAATTTGTGACAAATAATGTACTTCATATCTACCATGCTTGGAAAGCACTTCACATACATAGTTACTATGCTTGAGTTTTTGCCGTAACCATCCGTACAACCATCTATTTTGTAAGCCGTTCCTAACGGACTATACACGTAGATTTCTTCTGGAGCAGGAAGTACGTGATCAGGAGCCACCTAACAAAAGATGAGAACACAAGGCCTTAATGACAGTGTAAGTCTCTGGTGCTGCAATACAGTACTCCTGTATTCGCAGAAGTTCAAGAAGGCACTCCAATCCCAGTTTTAAGCAAGTTCTGCCCACTGAGTTCAACAGAGCTTACTTGAAATGCAACAGTGCAAATGTTATTTAATATTTGAGCTTCTATGTTGTGTGGGAGGGGAGCTTTTAAAAACTGAAAGGGAAAAAAACCTGGCAAAAGTAAAAGAATGAAAAAAAGAGAAATGTTAAGTGCCTATGTCTGCTGTCCAACACTTACAATCCTAAAAGTACTGTAAATCCAAATGAATTAAATGGAGTTTACTCCTAGGTGAGCGTCCATAATATGGTAGCCCAAGCTATAAAATATAATAAGACAATTGACTCATTCCCATATTATACAATTAAGGCACATGGTTTCTCCTAAAGCAGCTTGGGTACTGTAGTTTACCCCCTCACAGAACTACAATTCACAGCAGTCTTGAACTACAGTCCCCGTAATTATTTTTTGGGGAGGACACCATGTGCTTTGAATGGATGGTGTTAATTAGCCCAGTGATAAGCCAAACCATGGTTAAGTGTGAATGAGTAAGTGGGCTGATGTACTGTTACAAAAGCTGCTACCTCTTCGCTTCTCTCCCCATCCTGCTGCACTACTGGGGACTAAGTACTGGGACTTACTCCAGCTTAGTGTTTTATGTGAACCTGAACTTGGGGTTTGTCTTGGCCAAACAAGCCATGAGTGGTAAGTCGAGCAAACCTTGGTTACACCTCATGGTTTGTTTGGCGCTCCCACACCTGGGAGTTTTGCAATAACTTGTCTTTTGCTTACCAGTGCTCTATCTGAGGGCGAAGCAAGCCTGCTGTAGTAATGAATCCGCTTATTCATTGCTGAAGCTTCATCTGTAATTCTCTGCATATCATCATTCACAGTAACAATATTTGTAGGTTCTATATGGAATGGCCTGGAAGAGAAATAAAAAACATAATAGTCTTTAAAGCCATAATCAACAGAAGACTAACATTAGAGGTTGATAATGGAACAAAACAGTCCAGCATTTGGTTCCCACAATGTCCAACCAGATGCTTATCAAAAGCCTATGAGTCAGACATGAGTAAAGTAGCATTTTCTTGCCCATGTCCCCCAGTACACTGCCTTTAATACTGGAAGCACAATTTAGGTGTCATCATAAAGAAAGCTCAGGCTGATGCCATAATAAACCTTAGCTGGGTGCTGTACCACCAGGAGGGCCTCTGCTGAAGATCTCAATTTGTGAGCAGGTCTGTTTGGGAGAGTAGTTGCTTAAAGCTGAATGGAGCCTTTTAGGTTAACAAAAACACCTTAAATTTTGCTTGCCAGCACCCAGGCAGCCAGAGCAGTCCCATCAAAATTGATGTTGTATGATCATGAAACTCTCTCCTACTCTGCAAATTCTCTCCTACTCAGCAATCTAGCTGCCACATTCTGCACTAGCTGCAACTTCCAAAGCAGCTTTGAGGGCAGCCCCTCATACAGCACATTGCAGTAATCCAATGCATGAGTCATTATAGCCAGACTATCCATGGCCTGGAATGACTACAGCTGGTGTACCAGTTAAAGAAGAAGAGGAGGAGTTTGGATTTGATATCCCGCTTTATCACTACCCGAAGGAGTCTCAAAGCAGTTAACATTCTCCTTTCCCTTCCTCCCCCACAACAAACACTCTGTGAGGTGAGTGGGGCTGAGAGACTTCAGAGAAGTGTGACTAGCCCAAGATCACCCAGCAGCTGCATGTGGAGGAGCAGGGACACGAACCCGGTTCCCCAGATTACGAGTCTACTGCTCTTAACCACACTGGCTCTCAAGTGTAAAAGCTAGTAAAAGACACTCTTAGCTGCAGGGGTCACTTACACCTCCAGCAGCAATGCTGGATCCAGGTGGACTCTCAGCCACCTGCTTATTTAGAGGGAATGCAGATGGGGTTCACATGGCTGAATATTCCCTTCATACAAATATAACAGAGTTCTGTAGCACCTAACAAATTTACTAAGGCCTAAGCTTTCACAGGCTCTGTATGAAAAGATTTCCTCTATACAGAAAAATGTCAGGGAGGTGGCTAGGCTTGAATCCTGCCTAAAAGATAGCAACGCTGACTGAAAACCTCAACATCGCTTACAAATCAAATTCAAAATCATAATAGTTTAAGACACAAAGAGTACAAGAGTTGGCTCATATGTTTAGAAATCAATTGGCCTATTTGAAAAGATACAATCTCACTTGTTCTGTATCATTTGTTGCATGGAACCACATCATAACCACAAAGATAGTGATCAATTGTGGAAGGAAAGAACCACAAAAACCACACACACTTTTTCTTTTAGCCACAACAGTGTCACGCCAGCTAACTAAATACCAATGAAACTGTCCCCCAAAACAGCAATTTACATATACTCGAGCAGCTTCTACTTAAGGAAACCAAGGGAACAGTATCAACATTTGAACAATATGGATTAAACATTACCTTGAAGACCTCCCAAACTGAGACAGCACTAAGTGGCTCCCATGCAGACTTCTATTACCTGACTGTATGCTCTTTTAACATATAGCAAATTACCCCCCCCCAAGCACACGTCAATCTAAGGCTACAAGAACAAGTATTCTCAAAAAGTATCAGCTGCTGGGCCACAAGCTTCCTAACTTTCCAAAAACACACTGCTAACTAATTATTACTGCAAAATTATATTCCCCACCTCTGCTGCTTTTTAGAGCTGATTCACACACATAATTTATCAGGTCTTGTGACAAGCTACACCCGCCTAAATTCCCTCTTCTACACAAGGATTAAAGGTGCAGGAGCACTGCCTTTTCTTCGCATCAAGCCACCCCAAATCACAGCTGATCGCAAAGTCTTTGTGGAGCTTGACCCTGTGAAGGGTCAACATGCCTTGATGAAATTGCATCTGCAAGCTGTGATTTTAACAGTACACAATGCCACTTAAGTTAAAAGCATGTTCAATGCTCCTAAGCTTTAGGTGTGTTTGCTTGAATCTGTGTAAGGGGGGTGGGGACATGCATGCAAGCCCCATCTCCTGACCTTGTCTGTGTTGAGCAATAAAGGTCCGTGGGGGAGTTTGCTTGAATGTGAGTAGATCAGAGGAGCCTGCTTTGTCAGGATCACTGATAACACAAAGGGTTTTACTCATGTTCAGGTGAATGAGAGTAAAAAAAAACAACCTGCAGACCTCTCCTGCTCAAAGTCCTCCTGCCTGCCTGAGCAGTCAGGAAACATATACCAGGAAAATGATCTCTTTCAGCTTCTGCCTTCTGGAAGAAGGTACAGGGTTATAAAGACTAGGACTAGCCACCTGAGAAACAGTTTCTATCCAAATGTGATTTTGGTTTTAAACGCAGTGTAAGGTAGTCTCTATGGGAGTATATTGTATTTAATTATGGGGTATCAGCTGCGGGTTAAACCACAGAGCCTAGGGCTTGCCGATCAGAAGGTCGGCGGTTCGAATCCCCGCGACGGGGTGAGCTCTCGTTGCTCAGTCCCTGCTCCTGCCAACCTAGCAGTTCGAAAGCACGCAAAGTGCAAGTAGATAAATAGGTACCGCTCCGGCGGGAAGGCAAATGGCATTTCCGTGTGCTGCTCTGGTTTACCAGGTGGCTTAGTCATGCTGGCCACATGCCCCAGAAGCTGTATGCCGGCTCCCTCGGCCAATAAAGCGAGATGAGCTCCGCAACCCCAGAGTCAGCCACGACTGGACCTAATGGTCAGAGGTCCCTTTACCTTTTATCAGAGTTTTTAGGGGGCTAACCAGGCTGGGATAGCTGGGGTATCAGGCTTGTTGTTTTTTGAATGTCTGATGTAGATTTTTTTCAATTTCGTTGTTCTGTATGGGACAGTGACAATAAAGATTATTGTAATAGGAGATGGAGCTTGCCCCCGTCTCTATGGACAAGTTTATCATTTGTGTCTTCAGGCAAATATTCAAACATGCCTTTCGACTTTTTCCCAATCAATGCTACTGCTACAGCATGTGGGAAACTCAGGAACTCGTTTAGATTACAGAGGACAGCAGCAAGACACCTATTCAGTTCAAATCATAATACATTTTACCTAAATCCAGCAGATATCCTGATGCAACACAACTGTTATAGCCATTCTACAAGTAACATTCAAGTTATGAGGTTACTGAGCTGGAGGATAAATTGCAGGAAGTAGCATCAAAATGAAGAAAATATGAAGCCAGACCAAAAATACTAATGAACAGCAGTAAAAGAGATCTTAAGTATTTATTTCCTCTCACCTTTTGTATTTAAAGTCTTCTGGGTTAAACTGAATATTGAGGGCCCCAATGTCATTTTCATCACCTCCAACAGGGACCAGAAGAGGACTAGTATCTTCTTCCATATCTGGAGAACGATCTTCTACCAAATGTAGTAAATTATTATAACCTTAAAGAAAGTGAAATAAGTAAGTTACTGCAAGTGATCATCACTACATTTCCTCAAAATATTATTTCTTCAGGAAGACAGGACCTCCCTTAACTTTATTAAGCTCTGAGTCTAAAATTGCCTAACTATATACCGTAACCTTTCAATAAGCATCTAAGATTTATGTTTTGACATTTCTTTGGCAAAATGCTTTAAATTGGGAGTGGAGAAACTGTAGTCCACCAGAAGGAGTTGGATTACAAACCCCATTATCCTGACCATTGGCTAGGCTGCCTGGGGCTGATGTAAACTGGAAGTCCAGCAACAACTAGAAGGCCTGAGATTCCCCATGCCTGCTTTAAATGAACAATTTATATGATTGTTCCCCATTGGCAGGGCTTTAAAATACACTGGTTTATTTTTCATTCAAAAATTAAACCACAGAAGTTCTGGACGAACAATGCTCTGCACGATTACACAGAAGTAGGTCACACGGAGATCAATGGCACCCAGGTAAGAGTGCACAGGATCGTAGCCTATGTAGTAAAATGTTCAAGTGGGACAATGACTGAAAAACAGTGTGGAAAATTTAACATACTATCAGGAGAGGTTAGGTCTCAGTGTATTGTTTTTACAGGAGAAGTGGAAGACTGGAAATAGAAATCCATGTTCCAGAGAAAGTCCAGCATATTTTTAACTGATAAGAAACCTCTCCCCCAGAAACTAGCTGATTCAATAGTCATGGGAAGTTAAAAGATAACAATGCAACTACTGGTCTGATGTTTACCAGTCACAGAATTTAGGAAGCTATATTATCTTGAGCTGATTGTATAAAGCTATAAAAATGTATAGTAGTAGTTTTTTCTGGGAAATCTCATTGAGAGGAGGCATAGAGTTATTTTGGAGTTGCAAGTTCAAAGCTTGTTAGCTGCAATATCCTGTAGGTCTGTTCCTGATTTGCATTTAATAATGTTCACTTTGAATACATTCTAATCCTCTACTATGTTAAGTATGTTAGTACATAATCTTCACAATAGTATCTGAAAGTTTAACTGACATAATCCATAAAACTGAGGTCAACATCTGAGTTGGAAAAATCTCAGTTGTTTCAAATAAAGAGGAAGTTGCTGCTTGGTTCAACACCGGATGTGTGTACGCAATCTGAATAAACACGTTTGCAAATATCTGCTCTTCAAAATAAGCTTTGGAACACCCTAAATCACAGGCAGATGACCCTGATTCCATCTAAAACTGTCCCATGCTTTCCACCCCATCAAAGTCTTGCCTGTCTGTTTCCCCTGTAATTTTATACTTAACAGTGCTTTCGTTCTCTTTCTATATAGCTTCAGAACAATTGGAGATAACAGTATTTTATTTGATTAAAATATTTTAAAAACACTCTTTCCATAGTTGTATGGCTTTGGGAGAAATATCCCTCCAAACCAATAGGTGTCTGAAAACAAATGGGTAGGCTTCTGTAAATTTTAAATTACCTTGGTGCCCCCTTCTGGAGTGAAAGGTGATTCATGATTATTTTCATAAATTAATAATCTGTATGTGCAACACACTAAAGACAACATGGAATTATTTTTATTTGATTTCCAGAACAGTAGCTGCTCTGCTTTTTTGTATATATTTTAAACAAAATTCTCTGTTTACTTGAGTGTAACCTCATCAAGCACAATAGGGTTTAATTCTGAGCAAACCTGCATAGAATCAGAAATTCTAATCTGTAGGAGCCAGATTACTCTTGATATAATGTAGCCTTTGACCAAAAACAAATGCTTACCCCTGCCCAGATCATCTATTCCCTTGGCTGGAAGACTGTCCCTAAAAGATCTCTCAGCTTTTTTGGGGTGGGGGGGTGGACAGAGGGCCACATTTCCCATGTGCCAAAGCTTTTAAAACCTATTCCTTACAATGCATTTCAGGCATGAAGACCCTCATATGGAGTTTTGTTCCCCAAAACATGCAGAGAGGCAGCAGTTGAAGATCTGGGGGTTCCCAAAGCTTATTTCTGGGTACAAAGACCCTGCAGTGGGGTAAAGCATCTAAGGAACTGGCAGCGAGAAGAATCAAACCAGCCTTGTTAAAGGACGATTATCCAAACAAAAGATGCTCAAGTTCCATTTATTTCAATGGGGCAGCGTGGGATATATTTAACATTCTCCCGAAATTAGTGGGAGTTAAAGATTCTTTACTTCTGGCTACACCATAGGCAGAGTTTTCAGTTCCCTTGATAAAACTTTAAATCTCATCAGCGCCAACAGGCTGACGTTGTCGCTACTGCGGAGCATTTACCACAAACAGAACTTGAGATTTCAAACTTGGATTCTTTTCCTTCACCCATACAAATAAAGGAGCGATTTTAAAAAAAACCTGTGTTGCGCTACCAAAATCCCGCAGATCTCTTTTAACTTGAGATCTGACTGAGGAGAGAGCAAGAAAGAGACGGACTCCTGTTTTCTCTAGCTAAATGACGCCGTTGCCTTCTTCTGACAACCGATAACACATTTATTTGCAAATGTCTGCTATATTAGAGCAGGCACTTGACCACACGAGCAACTGACCCCTTCGCGCTCTTAGTAGCAAGTCTCGCTGAGTTCCGCGGACCTTGCTCCTAGGTAAGGATGCACAGGGACTGCAGTCTAAAGGCTGGTGCTCGGTGTGTGTGTGTGTGTGTGTGTTATTATTATATATATATTTAACACGAGTTTAAATGAAATCTAATGCAGATTCTGTACCTGGACTCCGCTCCGCCTGATCTCAGTCTGCCACCATTCACCGGTACGAGGCTGCTGCCTCGCTTGAGTCATTTCCAGTCGAAAGCTGTAAACAGGAAGAACTTTTGCTGCTCTCAGCACCGATAGAGCGGACTCCCTCAGTCCTCCATCGGCACATCCGCCATCCAAACGAACGGGATCCGAAGCATGGGATCCACCATAGAGATGTCGACATAGAGCGGCTCCCACTCTGCGCCCATAGAGCTAAGCCAGCCAGCCGCAGAGATATAACATTCCAGGAGTGACACACGCCAGCTTCCCTTTCCGAGTTTAAGGTCTCTTATTTCCCACCGCTAGGAGGGGTGGAAGCGCAGGGCGGCGCGCCTGTGTAAGCTGCGAAGCGTGTGCAACCCGTTCATTTTGAGAGGGAGATGGCAGATACAGTGATTAGCATTTTCCAGTCCTTTCCTTACAAAGGTGACTTGCCAGATGTGCCATCTGGACTTGTTTTGGAACAGAATCTCTTCTGACATCAATAGACAGGCAATATTATGTTAAGAGGGACGCGGGTGGCGCTGTGGGTAAAAGCCTCAGTGCCTAGGGCTTGCCGATCGAAAGGTCGGCGGTTCGAATCCCTGTGGCAGGGTGCGCTCCCGTTGTTCGGTCCCAGCGCCTGCCAACCTAGCAGTTCGAAAGCACCCCCGGGTGCAAGTAGATAAATAGGGACCGCTTACCAGCGGGAAGGTAAACGGCGTTCCGTGTGCTGCGCTGGCTCGCCAGATGCAGCTTTGTCACGCTGGCCACGTGACCCGGAAGTGTCTCCGGACAGCACTGGCCCCCGGCCTCTTGAGTGAGATGGGCGCACAACCCTAGAGTCTGTCAAGACTGGCCCGTACGGGCAGGGGTACCTTTACCTTATTATGTTAAGAACATGATAAAATGCCAGCAGTTTCATAATGGCACCAGCCAAATTGTAATTTCTGCTTCAGAAATTGGTCATTTATTTTGCCTGGTCCGTTCCTATGTTCAAATTATATGAAGTTTAATATACTGTAAAATTGAATGTATTCTATCCTTTTCAACCAGCAAAAAAATAATTTTTTAAAAAAAACCCTCTTCTGACGTGTTCTCTGGTTTCAATGCATGTACCGCCTGTGCGGTGATTTCAGGAGACACTGGCGAAGCTAGGCTTTATTTCACCCGAATCAAAGACCCAAGTTTGACACACACACGCAATGCGAATTGCGGACATACACACACAGGTTGGGACATCACCACGGAAGTGGCCTGCGATATCCTCGAAAGCTTGCGCAAGGAAATCTGTTAGGTGCCACAAGGCTCCCAAATGCATCTACAACACTGAAAGAAATCCTGATAATGCGGAAAATGTGCAGGGTTGTACTGGAGACCGGTTGCGGAGATGTATTTCACCTATGCAGGTCGGACATTTCTGAAAAGACTCTCCCCACCCACACCCACCCCAGTTGTCAGCTTATCTACTTCACCCCCCCCCCCATACTAGATGATTGCATCCCCTCTCCCAATCTTCACTAAGATATTAAAAACTCTGTTGCATTAACAGGTATTTAATGTAAGCAGCTATCTGTCAGTGCCCCCACCATCTTAAAAATTAAGATACAAACTGGAATATTTCAAGGCTATTCTTATGTGACACAGCCTCCACCCCATTCAGCTTGCAATAAGGAGATGACAATGCCAAACTATGTTGCAGGGTTTTTATATGCCACTGTTAATTCCCACCCTTGCGATATAGGCATAATATAGTTATAGGAATTCTAAGGTCTCATATATACCGGTAAGTATATAAACCACGTGTCTGAAATAGTACAGGAAAACAATCCTGAAGCCATTTTGACTCTCCCAAATTGACCTCAAATATTTCTCTGCAAGGAGGGAGGAAATGGGAAAAGCTTTCCAATTGTCTTTGGATTGTAGGGGCTTACACCTCCCTGTAAATACAGTCTGGCAAGTATCTGTTAAGCTGAGCACACTATCAATATGCGTATGGGATTCAGGAACTAAGTATTTACCATCTCAAAGGAATGGCCAGGATGCCCAGGTAAAAGCAATCAGTGATCATTATTAGGTATCCTGTCAGACAGGTTTTCTGCTGTAGGTGATGTATGTATGTATGTATGTTTTGGGGGGTGGTCTTGAGCTACAAGGGAGGCAATTTTCAAATGTTTATATAAGAGCTTTCATACCATTGGTCTAGGTTCCTCTCCTCCCTCCCCGTGTGGGGTGAGCAGGGGACCCTGTTGCAACAGTTTAATAAAGTTGTTTATGTTTACTAGCTGCTTTGCTTCTCAATATTCTCTGGTTGGCCTCTGTTATTTTCTCCTACCGATAAAGAACCTACTTAAGGACTCTACCTTCTAGCACAGGAAGCATTCACAAATTAAAAGAACTTTAAAACCTCACCTTTTTCCCACACAAGCAGACTTCTGTTTTGCTTCTACTTTTTGAGGAGTCTGGGGGTAAATGTGCTCCTTGCAAATAACTGCCAATAAAATCTTCGTGGATTTCTACACAGGATCCCTCCAGACTGTTTATTTTGCTTTGGCTGGTGTATTCTGCAGCATGTCATTGATACATTAATAGCGCATTAGTGGTGGATTTACAATTGTCAGCACATCAGTCTGTTTTATTAGTTGTTCTGCAAAGCCTTCCCCGTGTTATCACATTATTTCTGTCTGGAGGGATTCCTGTTAAGTTTCTAAATTACAGAAATAAGTGTCCTATGTTACATTATGTTAAATTACAGAAATAAGTGTCCTATGTTCTATGTTATTTCTGGCCTTGGGGTTTCTGTATTTTAATCTTTTTTTATATGTACTGGCTGGCCTATTTTAATTCATAATAATAATATTGGAAAGCTTTAATGATGAAAGATAACAGCTACTGTTTACAGACGGCGACCACTCTTTCTGTGAGTGCTGTCTGAAGGGATAGGGGTGACATCCTCAATGCGCCCTATCTTCATGCCAGATCTAGCCAGAGCTCTGAGGGCTGACTGGGCTCCAGGCCCAGGAGTCTTTGTTCTATTTCCACCTGTAGCCCGCAACTTGATGTGAAGGGCAGTGATTCCCAGCTCCTTGCATCTCTGAGCTACATCCTGGGCAGCCAACAAAGCAGCGTAAGGAGAAGACTCATCCTTGTCAGCCTTCACTTTCATGCCACCAGGTACTCGGCAGATTGTTTCCTTGCCAGACAGGTTAGTTACATGGACAAAAGTGTCATTGAAGGAAGCGAAGATGTGGCAGGTGCCATTTTCGCCCATCTCTGCAGGCAGCGACCAACACAGGAAAGGAAGAGCTATACTGGCCTGTTTTGTACAACAAGGGAAGTCAAACTTTGACTTACTGGAACTATGTGAAAATGTGAGCTCCCAGGAAGGAACTCATGGCTGCTTTGTTTCTCCCTGGACCTTTTTGTACTTGCAACCACACTGAGCCCAAGGTTCATTTTTTAAAAAAGACCAGGGAGAAGAAAACAAATCAGCTGAAGGTTCCTTTCCAGGAGCCCATACATGGCCCCAGGCAGCTAGTCTGGTTTACAGTGCTTGGTGAACCAAGCCACCACTACAATGCCTTCTTTGCTGTTTTATTGTTTTCAGTTTGTAGCAGGAAACCCCCCACCCCAATCATTCTGCTTGTACAAACTTCACACACACACACACTCACACACTACATACGCCACATTTCTGTTATAAATTCATAGAAAATCAACCATACGTCGGATTTGCACTGTTCCATTTTTATTTTACTCCATATGACAAGAACTAACAAAGGGGGGTGACTTATTCCTGGTCAGCCATAATCCCTCCACCATCTCAGCACATCTCAGCACATCTGCAGGAGCCCTGCCCAGATGATCCCAGACAGAAGACAATCAAAATCACCAAGAACTTGTATATGGGAGTGGATTCAGCATGGACTGAAACAAAGGACAATGATCAGATCTTCCCTCAGGGGGCAGGAAACTGCAAACTCCCCTTTGTCTCCTGGAAGTGACTCATGGGGAGGGGGGAAAGGAGGAACCAGCCAGGTGACAAGACACTCAGGTTACCACCAACTCCTCCCTCAACCCCTCCTTTCTGTAATATATGCATGATGTTTCTGGGGGTGGGCTTGACCTAGAGGAGGGGAATTTCAAAAGTTTTTATAAGACTTTGCACACTATTTTTCTGGGTCTTTCCTCTCTCCTGCAAGTGAGGGGAACACCCTGATGCATCAGTTCAATAAAGGCCAAGCCTACAGGCTGCTGTTTTGCTCCAAGTTATCCTGGTTGGTGTCTTTGTTTTGTCCAAGGGAGCCCTCGGATTTTTCCTGTAACAAGTTGAATTAATTTTATTTGATCTATTTGTAACAGCAACATGCATTTTATAATTGACTGGCAATTAGCTTCTGGGTTCAATTCAAAGTGCAGGTTTTGACCTATAAAGCCTTAAATGGCTCAGGACTGCATCTCTCCAGATGAACCAACCCAGACCCTGCAATCATATTCTGAGGCCCTTCTTCATATGCCTCCACGAGAGTTCTGGAAGGTGGCAACATGAGACCAGGCCTTTTCTGCAGTGGTACCCCACTTGTGGAATGCTCTCCCCAGGAAAGTTTGGCTGACACTACATTATATACCTTTAGATGCCAGATGAAAGCATTCTTCTTCAGCCAGGCCTTTGGCTGATTACTATCCGATACCCATTTTAAACGTAGGATGCGGGAGAGGAGGTTATTGGTTGTTGTTGTTTTAATTCTTGCTTTTATTATGATTTTGTATTTTTATATTGCCAGCTACCCTGAGATCTGTAGATAAAGGGCTGTATACAAATTTAATAAATCAATAAATTATGCAGCACAAAAACTCATACGCATGTTTTTTATAGACTAACCGCCACCATTCAGCTGAGCTGACACTTGAATATACTAAAAGTACACACTCTAGTATATACTCCAGATTTAAGAGCTGAAAAGCAAACTTGCACATTGCTTTTGCTTCTTGTGGAGAATTGCCATGGTGAATCTGTTATGCAACCAATGATTTTTTTCAAGTGAAGCACAATCCTTCTTGGTGAAGAGCACTTTTAGCTGCGTGCAAGAAGCAGTCATGCTTTTTTCCCCCTGGGTGCCACATACAAATATGCTTGCAATGTAAGTAGAAGAGAGTGAGGCAGAAAGGTAAAGACAATACAGTGTCAGGGTCTGCTTTAGTTGAGCTGTTTGCACCCTCAGCCCCAGGTTATATT